TGACATCCGAGTGGTGTCCTTCTAAGGCTTCAAAGATCCGGTGTTGAAGACTGGATGAAGTTTGTTTCCGGCTTGGATGTTGAGCTCGTACGCGTGATTATGGATCCTCTTCACCACCGTATAGGGACCTATCCACTTTGGACCAAGCTTGCTTGACTTGGGTAACCCTGTATGTTTCCGATCTAAGTGTTCCGTACTCAAGTACACTCGGTCGCCAGCTTCGAAGACTTGCTCCACCCGGTTTCGGTCGTACACATCGCGCATTCGCTCTTGCGCTTCCGCCAGTGCTTCCTGACACCGCCGAAGAAGAGCTGCTTGTCGCTCGTTGAACTCAGCAGCACGTCGACTTGTGGGGACCTTGCCACGATTCTCCGCCGCAAGTTGAAGCGGGTTTAGTGGGACGTATCCGAGATCAGCTTCGAAAGGCGCCATCTTGATACTACTGTTCACGGTTGAGTTCACTGCGAACTCAGCATTGGCAAGATGGATATCCCAGTCGTCTTGAACAGGGCCCACGAAGCACCGCAAATATTCCTCAAGTGTCCTGTTCACGCTCCGTCTGGCCGTCTCCTTGAGCTCGATGTGCTACTGTCATCTTGAGCGTTGTTCCGATTGATTTGAAGACGTGCTGCCACCACGTCGAAACGAACTTCCTGTCTCTGTCGGACACGATGCTTATTGGCACTCCATGAAGTTTCCAGATATGGTCGATGAAGAGCCGGGCAACGCCTTCGGCGTCTACCTTCTTCGTAGTAGGTACAAAGTGACATCGCTTTGTCAGTCGGTCGACGACGACCCAGATGGAATCTACTTCTCGTTTCGTTCGTGGCAAGTCAGTGATGGAGTCCATCGAAATCGATCTCCACCGTTCGTCGGGAACACGTAATGGTTCCAGCAGTCCCGGTGGCTTCGTTACCATCGGTTTGTTCCGTCTACAAGGCTCACAGTCGGCAATGTACGATTGGATTGACTTCAACATCTTGGTCCAGTACCACCTCCTAGCCAGTGTCAGGTACGTCCGCTCCGATCCCGGATGTCCCCCGTAGTTGGAGTCGTGACACTCACTGATGACCACCTGCCTCAACTTCATATCGTTTGGGCACTACGATACATGGACCATCGTCGGATGGAGTCTGGTGCCACAGCAAACCGTTTTCTTCCGAATAGCAGCGATATTGTTTCTTCTGTTGTCGCCTGGCTTTCACCTGCTGGCTATCTGCACGCCGCTGGATTGCTGTAAAAATCGCTTTTGCTTCTCGATCTCTCTTGTACGCCTTTTTGATCTTGGCTATCAACTCGCTGTCAGTGGTCACCTCACTGACTGCTAAACTGAAGGACGCATCATTGAAGCTGGTCACACTCAAGTCATGAAAGTACTTCGTCTCCGGTTGCAAGTCTGGTCTTCGGCTAAGCGCGTCTGCAATTCCGTTCTTCGCACCTGGAAGGTATTGAGAACGTTGGCTGAAACTCCGCGAGGATATCGTACCAGCGCGCGAGACGACGGCTTGCCATCTTTTGAGTAACGAGACCTTCAAGACTCTTGTGATCCGTTTCCACGATTGGTGGCTTGTCCAAGCAGTAAATACGGAAAGCTGCCAGCGCGTGAACAATTGCCAGAAGTTTTTGCTGCTGCGTCGGGTAATTGAGTTCCGCAGATTTCATCTTTCTACTGGTGTAAGCAATGGGTAGCTCAGCACCATCGACAACCTGGAGCAGGACTCCCCCGACTGCAAACTTGCTAGCCGTACGCAAATGCATAGGCTGATTGAAATCGGGCAAGTGCAACACTGGTGGATTGAACAGCCGTTTCTATAGCTCCTTGAAGTTCTTCGACTGCTCTTCGTCAAAACGAATCTTCGCATTGCGCTTGGACTTCTTCTTGAGCAAAGTAAACATACTTGCTGTCAGTTTCGCGTAGTCTGGGCAGATCGTTGGACGTATCCAGTTAAGTCGAGGAAGCTGTGAAGATCCTCTTGTGTTCTTGGAATTGGCCAGTCCTTGATGGTCTGCACCTTATCTGGATCCATCCGCACGCCGTTTCTCCCAACAAAATCTCCAAGGCATAGAATCTTGTCGGCACAGAAGACGCACTTGGACAGCTTCGCGTATAACTTGTTGTCTCGCGAGATGTCCAATGTTTTGCGGAGAGCCTCCAAGTGATCTTCAATCTTCTGTGTCTTCGTGAAGATGTAGATGTCGTCGTAGAACGCCTTCGTGTTCTCCAGATCGCGAAAGAGTTTCGACGTCAATCGATGCATCGTCGCTGGCGCGTTGCAGACTCCCATTGGCAGTACCAGGTACTCCCAGAGTCCGTTGGGCGCCTGGAACGCTGTGAACTTGATATCTTCGACACGCATACGAACTTGATAACACGCGGACATCAAGTCCATCGTTGAAAACCAGTACCCTCCGGCCATGGCGTTCAGTATGTAATCTTTCCTTGTCATCGGTATTATCTGCCGTATCGTATTAGAGTTCAAATACCGATAATCGTGAACGATCCGCCACCCAACTGGTTTCCGGACGCAGAAGGTCGGCGCCGCGTGTGGGCTGATGCTTGGTCGGATAAGTTTCTTCTTCACCATGTCTATAACCCAGAGCACGATCTCACGTTGTTGCTCAGGTGACTGTCGCCACTGTTGCCGGTACATCGCAAGGTTGGGATCTTTCACGTCGATCCTGTGCTCGATTTCACGCTTCTCCGGAAGACCTTCAGGGAGTTCAGGTTGGAACACCGTGTCCTTGTACTTTGTCAGCAAGTCAAAGGCAGGATTTGCCTGGAAACTTTGCCAGTCTGTTTCCAGATAAAGTTGAGCTTTTGCAGTTCCGACATTGTCGGGTTGGTCTCGCCGCTCCAAGGATCGAGCGACGTTTTTGATCATGTCGTTCGTCAGAACCAACATGAAGTCTGGTTCTTCGATAGACTTGGTCTTGATTCTCAGGAACTTTCTCAGTTTCTTTCTCGTGATGAACTTGATCTGTATACCAGCTTCATCTGTGATTCCCACCGTGAACATCTTTTCCACGACGGAATCTCTTCCTCTGGTATCGCTGCTCCCAGCAGCAGTACCGTCGCGTCTTGACGACTTCCTCTCGTCTTCGTCTGCTGAACCCTTGCCAGCTGACGCGTCTTCCAGTCGCTCGCAAGCAACTCGTGGGATCTCACTCTGCTCTGAGTCGGGAACGGGATTGACCGCGGACTTCACACCCGTTTCCAGCGCGGCACCTCGACAGGAATCGGGTCTTTTCGCCGACAGGCCTTTCGCCCCGACAGATCTCCGAAGCCCGGAGGCAATCACCGGTCCGCCTTCCTCGATTGGCCCACAGGTTTCACCCGCTCGTTCCCAGCGCAAAGTTCTCTCTATTGTTCCTTCGATTCGCCGACGTCTCCAGTCGATCTGTGGTAGCATGTCCTCGAAAAAAGGTATTTCAAGGATGCAGTCAAATTCTTCAGGTATCGCGTAGACAACTGCGACGCTTCATACGCCTCGTCTATTCCGGCGACAAAGATACGTAGAGGTAGCACCTCTAGCTGGGCCTCCACAATCGGATTGTCTCCTAGCTTGACTCGAATGTTCTTGTCGCTGAGCTTCGTTGTCTTCAGCTGGTGTTCTTCTACCCACCGCTTTGACACGTAGATCGTGGTTGCACCACAGTCTAGAAGCATATTCGATGTTTTCTTCATCTTGCCAGCCACACTGATATCACCGCCGACGGCGAACAGTGGACGTGACTTGTAGACTAGAGGGCTTTCACGCAGAACATTAAGGCTGACATTATCAAACTTAACTGCTCCGGTTACTTTCTCTTCCACGACAGGACCGTCTTTCACTGTCGTGGCTTCTCGTTTCCCTGCTTCCCTTGCTCCTTCTTCCACGCAAAGCAGTTGGCTTTGATGTGGCGAGGTTTGTTGCAGAAGTGGCAGGTACGAGTCTCCTTGCTCTTCAAATTCGAGCTCGGTTTAAACCGTCCCTTTCCTCGGAATGGTTTTCCTTTGAACGTTTTCTTGCTGTCTTGAGGTTGCTCATTAGAGGTCTTCGTCTTCTCATGACGAACCTTGCGCTCACTAGCGTCCTCCACAAAGTGAGTCACCTCAAACTTGACAGCTAAGTCCATGGCGTTACTCAGTGTCTCAGGATTCTCGAGCCTGAGACACTGAGTAACGCCATGGACTTCACGTAGCTTCGCGTGCGAGGCTTGAGACCGTTTGCGTAGAACAGGACTTGGTCAAGCACGCTCATGCCTTCGATTCGAAAGATGAGGGCTGAGTATTTACCGTTGTACGTCTCGATATCCTCTGTCTGCTTCAGACGCTGGAGCTTATCTCGTAGCACTGACTGGTAGTTCGACGCCTCGAAGTGTTGGAGCAGGAAAATCCCCCACGTGTGCTTTTCCATTCGCGTCGTCGAAGCCCAGTGCAGGAACCACCCCGAAGCCGGTTTCTCCATCGCCGACCCGGTGATTCCTGGTATTCGTCGGTTCGTGTCGTCGATTGCGATTCCGTTAATGCGGCAGGCGTTCTCGACCTGGAACAGCCATGTGCGCACGTCTTCCCCCCTCTTGCCGGTGAACTTGGGCAGGTTGCTGGGCACTCGTGTGCGTTCCGCCATCGCTTGTTTCAGCCGGTCGATCTCGGCTTGAAGCTGCGCGTTCGTCGGCATGGGCTCTTTGTTGTCAGGTTGCTGGGACCAACAAGTGCTACCAGTTTATCGAAGTCAGGGGAGCTTTGGGGGAGAGCGCGCCAAAAGAAAAAGTGCCGCCCCCGCAGCTCAGACGGATGGAAGCTTCTAGAAGCTTCCACAGCCGTCCTACATCTGCCTGTTTATTAATTACAATGCTACACATTCCATAGTACTACTAACAACCCATTGCAATAAGATAATAATATCACCCAATCGGATACACCACCCTTGGTGCCTAAGTCCTTGTATGCACGATTGCCCATTCGTGAATACACTGCGTCCCCTGATCCAGCACGTATAGCAGCTCACAGGGCGTTACTATTTTGCTACAATGTTTAGCAGCCCATGAGCACCTTGCTTCTTGGGCGAAACGAGGATGGCTTTACATACGTCGCGACCCTGCAAATGGCGTTGAACCGCAGGAGAGACCATAGCCAGAGCCAACACGCCATCCGAATCCTGAGCCTCCAGCAGAGCAGGGTCTACGAGAATAGTATCGCGTGGCTTACCTTGCACTTGAAGCACTACCTTTACTTGAGCACGGTCTAGCATTGCTGGGTCGTAGGTTGGCCATGTGTAAGCATGCACATCAACTGCTTCACCTCCGTCGTGCAGAGCCTGAAACATTTCAGCAGCAGTGTGGGGAGCCAAAGGCGCCAACATCTGGACTAACGCCGATAGAGCTTCCTCATAAGCGGCAGAATCCTGAAGCTGCGTGCGACGCTCGCCAAGCAGGTTCGACAGCTTCATCAGTTCTGCGATAGCAACGTTGAACGAATGGAAGTCGTTCAGTGCCTCGGTCACACGCTTGATCGTCCCATGCAGTTCATGTCGAAGCTCGTTCTCGTCCTCTTCATCAACAGGAGCATTCACATCCTGACGCCGATTAGCCAACGCACCATCCAGCAGCGTCCAAATGCGAGCAAGCCAGCGCGATTGACCTGCGAGGTCTGCCTCATCCCACTCTAGCTCGTGAGTAGGGGGGGCCTTAAAAAGCACCGCGAGACGCGTCACATCGGCACCGTGGCGGGCACGAATTTGCTCAGGATCGACACCATTGTACTTCGATTTGGACATCTTTTCCCATTGCGTCACAACAGGCAATCCAGTCTTTTTTTCAACAATAACCCTGCGGCCATCCTCCGTCAGCTCTTCGTATTCGCGCGGTGCCAGTGGTCGCAACGAACCCGGAGACTTGTGGGTGCGACCGAGCACCATTCCCTGAGCTAGGAGCTGTGCGAAGGGCTCATCCGTGGCCAGCAAGCCTTGGTCAAACATGAACTTGGTCACAAAACGCGAGTACAGCAAGTGTAAGATTGCGTGTTCGATGCCGCCAATATAAAGATCCACACCCGCGCGCTTCAGCCATGTCTGTGCCTGCTCGGGATTAAATACAGCTGCGTCGTTACGAGCATCGCAGTAGCGCATGTAGTACCATGAGCTGTCCACAAACGTGTCGAGTGTGTCGGTGTCGCGCTCGGCTTCGCCACCACAGCTCGGGCACTTGCAGTGCCTCCATCCAGCGATACGGGCGAGAGGAGAGTCGCTACTTCCCTTGCCACGCAGGTCGTCAGCCACATCCTCGCCCACAGGCGGAAGTTCCACTGGTAGCTGTTCAGTAGGAACGCCAACCGGCCCACACGACGGACAGTGGACGATCGGCACAGGTGTACCCCAGTAGCGCTGACGGGACACAAGCCAATCACGCAGACGGAACTGAGTCGTGGCACGACCAATATATTCGTCTTCAAGGCGAGCGTTAATCGCTGCAGCCGCCTCCTGCGAAGTCATTCCAGAAAACTCGCCACTGTCGCGCAGCACTCCATGGTCGGTAAACACTTCGTCTTCGTTGGAGTCTACTTCGTTGCAACTTTCAACCACGGAGCGCACTTCGAGGTTGTGGTGGCGCGCGAAGGCCAGATCTCGGCTATCGTGCGCAGGAACTCCCATGACAACACCGGTGCCGTAATGGGCCAGTACATACTCGGCCAAGTAAATCGGTACATGACGACCCGTAAGCGGGTGGCGCGCATAAAGTCCCGTAAACACGCCAGCCGTCGTATCACCTTTGCTTCTGCCATCTTTGCTCATGGCTCGTACCTTGGCGACGTATTCATCGACAGCAGTGCGCTGTGCCTCTGGTACATGAGAAATAATACTGTCCACCTCAATGCTGTCAGGAGCCATTGAGACAAAACTCACACCGAAGATAGTGTCAACGCGCGTGGTGAAGACTGTCAATGGGATCACCTTCGCATCTGCGTTTAACGCGACCCGAAACTCGACCTGTGAGCCCTCTGATCGACCAATCCACGAAGTCTGCATGCGCTTAACGGCATCCGGCCACTTGTTCAGCTGTTCAAATTGCATCACGTCGGTTAGCTTACTCAAGTCTGCACGATATTCAACGCCGTACCTTGTTCAGGTCATCCAGTAGTCGGTTTCCGTACTCGGTGATGCGCAAGAACCACTGGTTAAGTGAGCGCTGCTCAACGATAGCGCCGGAGCGCCAGGACCTGCCTTCGGCATCCACCTGCTCGTTGGCGAGCACCGTCTTGTCCACGGGGTCCCAGTTCACGAGTGCCTCTTTGCGGTAGGCAAGTCCCTTGTTGAACATCTGCAGGAAGATCCACTGCGTCCACTTGTAGTAGTCAGGTGCACATGTGGTGACCTCGCGTTCCCAGTCAAAGCGGATACCCAGCGCCTTGAGCTGCTTCTTCGCCTGTGCAATGTTGGCTTCAGTCCAGTCGGCCGGCGAGATCCCACGCTCGATAGCCGCGTTCTCAGCCGGCAGCCCAAAGGCGTCCCATCCCATGGGGTGAAGCACGTCGTATCCTTGCATACGCTTAAAACGTGCCATACAGTCACTGATGGTGTAGACACGTACGTGGCCGATGTGCAGCTGGCCCGACGGGTACGGGAACATGGAGAGGCAGTAATACGGCTTCTTCTTATTGGGTGAAGGCGAACACAGCTCCTGCTGCGCCCAGCGCTTCTGCCATTTGGCCTCAATAGGCTCCCATGCACGTGAAGGTGCAGCAGTCGCGAAGCCGCGCCGTGCCAAGAGAGATCCGCGCAGCAACATGACCAATTGGGCTACGTGTGGCTAAGACAGCGATGCGTTGTAATTGGTCAAAAATACATTATTCTCGTTTCGAGAAGATTTTTTTAGGGCGTACCGGTACCGTATCGTGAGCAGACGCAGAACAAGACGATGGTGGCAGCAGCAGGAGACATCTCGACCTTCAACATCCAGCACGGCTACGTGGAGGGACTGGTGCGTGGTTTCCGCTCCGGTTTCCTGGACGACGTGGACTACCACCACCTCACACAGTGCGAGAGCCTCGAAGGTATAGTGAAATGGACGCGCTCACCCTCTTCGCCTTGCTGATCCCTTGTATTGCGTTCCAGATGTGAAGCTGAACCTTCAAGAGACGGACTACGACCAGTTTCTAGCGGACGAGGTATGGCCGAGTAGAGAGAAAATGGGAAATTGTGATCTCTGACTGCTCTGTGCTATCGCTTCAGTCATCGAGCTCCATCTCGCCTGGTCTGATCCAGACCGGCACGTCTAACAAGCTTGTGGAGGAATTCAACTTCCTTCGCGCGCAGGCGATGGAGCCTCTGGGCGAGTTTCTCGACTTCATCACGTGCGTGATATTTTAACAGGAGTTGCTGTAGACGGGTAGGTGTGCATGTGTGTTAAAGGGTTATTATTTTATGTACAGATACGAGTACATGATCGACAACGTGATCCTTCTCCTCAAGGGAACGCTCAACGGACGCGACGTGAACGAGCTTATCGGACAGGTACGGGGGAATTGTCCTCTTAGTGGTTTGGCTGCTTTGTCTAATGTCGCTTGACTCTTGCTGTTGTTGTCCTACTATTAGCTACACCCACTTGGGAAATTCGATGAGTCCATTATGCGCAGTATCTGCACCTTTGAGCCGAACGCCAAGGGCTACTCGGACTTGTACGAGACTGTGCTGATTGACACTCCCATCGGTGTGTAATATATCCGTCTAGAACTGCATATCAAACTCTGTAACTGACCGTGTTGCTATCATTATTGTTTAGGAACGTATTTCAGCCAGTTCCTGGAGGAAAGCGCTGGAGGTGATCGCATGGAAGGCACGTCGGACGTACGTAATGTCCTGGAAGAGGTGCAGATGGAGCTCATCAAGAACAGTATGCTGAAGCTGTGGCTCGAGGATTTCTACGACTTCTGTCAGGTGGGCTGTTTGCTGGATCATACTGCGCTTGGCTTTGTATGTAAGCATGCATTGAAAAGATATTATATTTTTGTAGGAGATTGGAGGCGACACGGCGACCATCATGGGAGAAATTCTCACGGCGCGCGCCGATCGCATCGCCATTAACATTACGTTGAACTCGTTCGGCACTCCGTTGAATGAGGTATGGTTGCTACTGTAATTTTGCTTTCTCAATGAAGGTTTACTAAGTTGAGACCGCGTTGTGGTATGTGCTGCGATACTTTGTCTAGCCGGCGATGCGCATTTCGGATCGCAAGCCGCTGTATCCGTCCATCGGCTCGCTGTACCCCGACGCGACAGCGCTTCTGGCGGAGGCGGGTGACGAATCGTCACTTGGAGCGGCTCTGGACTCATTCCCAGTATACCGCAAAATCTGGGAGGTCCACCAGGGTGAGGGTGTAGACAGCAAGTCCATTGACGACGCGTTTTACGAACGTGACGTCCAGATGGCGGAGCTGGCTTTCCAGAGCCAAATGCACTTTGGTACCAAGATTTTTGCATTGTGTGTCCGTACTAATGAGCTCACGGAATGTGTTGTATTTGCCATAGCGTGCTTCTACGCGTACGTGAAGCTGAAAGAGCAGGAAGTGCGCAACCTCGTGTGGATCTGCGAGTGCATCGTACAAAACCAACGCGACGCCATCAACAATTTCATCCCGATCTTCAGCGACAGTGCGCCGTGGCGTGGCAAGGGGTCAAACAAACATTAGGCCGACTCAGCTAAGTATGCTGGCACGAAGAGATCAGAGCGCCGTCCAATTCATTTCCATGCATGTTACCCGGCCGGCACTAAGGCTCTCTAATGAGGCCTTGTAAAGGCTTTTACAAAATTTAAAGTTGCCGCCATTTTTGGTGCTGTACTTAAATGCGATTGGTCAGCAGGTCGCAATAAATTGCACAAGCTACTGTCTTAGCAAAGATTATGGAGCAGCACGAACATTTCCAGTTTGTAGCAAATCGATCAAACTAGCGCGAACCACAGACAAAAAACGATAGCAGCACGCAAAAAATATGCGCCAACTCAGCTAAGTATGCTGGCACGAAGAGATCAGAGCGCCGTCCAATTCATTTCCATGCATGTTACCCGGCCGGCACTAAGGCTCTCTAATGAGGCCTTGTAAAGGCTTTTACAAAATTTAAAGTTGCCGCCATTTTTGGTGCTGTACTTAAATGCGATTGGTCAGCAGGTCGCAATAAATTGCACAAGCTACTGTCTTAGCAAAGATTATGGAGCAGCACGAACATTTCCAGTTTGTAGCAAATCGATCAAACTAGCGCGAACCACAGACAAAAAACGATAGCAGCACGCAAAAAATATGCGCCAACCCTGCACGAGCGTATATATTCGCCATTGCGAGGCATGCTGCGCATCTTGGCAGTATTTTTAGCCGTCTGCAGTGGGCGCTTCAGCAGAACAACTGAGGTTTCGATGTCAATCTGCTAGCCTCCGCGGTTGCATTCGCTCATAGCCTTACTAGTTGTCACGTGGTTGACCGTCGATTTGTGTTCTTGATGGTGAAACCACAACTGAGCTCGAATTAGATGCTTACAGCTTTGCTACTCGCTCTGCTAACTAGTCCTGCTGTCCTAGGCGCTCGTAGTGCTAGCTATCTAATCCTACTTCAACGTCAAGCATGTGTAGTTGCCTTCTTCCACTGGAAGGCTGGTCAACATGGCGCACCTGCTGGTCTCGGAGAGCAGCACGTCTTCTTCTGAGTAGCACGTGCGTTCTGTGCTGCAGGTGCGATGGGGAGCATCTTACTGCGGCTGCTCACAGTCTCCTCCACGCTTGGTCTTGCAGGGTCGCACACGACGAACGTTTACCTTCTCAAGGTATGGACCCTTGTCAAGGGTAAGCGCCCCGTGTTCTTGAACAGCGATTACTTCAAAAGGTCCGTCGAAGAGAGGCTGCATCTTGCTTTGTACGCCAGCATCACGACGTAGTAGTACTTGATCTCCTGGCTGATGTGGTGTAGTGATTTCTCCGTAGTTGCGGATTATCACCCGTCGACAAAGACGTGACACCGCCCAAGATGTTCAAGCGACGAACCCTCGGTCAGGTGATGTACGGAGACGCCAAGGTGCAAGGGACTCGACGGCGTCACTCTCGAGCTTTCAACAAAGTACCGGATACGGTCATATGTCACTGAATCCAGGCTGTCCTTATTATAAATAATGAACTGGCCGATTCGCATTCAGCGGACCATCTACGGTACGAACCCTCGGTGGCGGTTGGGATGAGTTCGCGGAAGACTCAGCGACCACGTTCACCGTCTGGGACAGGACGCGGACCGTTAAAGATACTCATGCGACGGTGCAGACGACGCTTGGCGTGCAAGAAGATCCATAACGGATCGTTGCTCACTTGATATTTGTATACTTGATTAGGACTTCTTATTAGGAATAGACCCGAACGGGTAAGCTTAAATACAGAACAGAATTTCCACTCAAGCACACAGAGCGACGTCCGGCTTCAAGGTAAGCGTCTGGTCAAGCTTGTTTTGAGTGTGTGTTATGCCTGTCGGTGAACTCGAAGCTCTGTAGCGAGGGTTCATCCGGCAAGGCCAAGAGACTTTGTGTATTGGCCGATTACTATCGGGAGGTTTTACGTGACGGCTTATTGTTGCCTATTTGCACGACTGGGAGTGCTTGAATTGCCTTCTTTTTATTCTTCCAGCCGAGTGTTGAGCACTCGGTGACCTCGTAAAAGGCTTACCCGTGCCTGGTACCCTTCCGCTGTTGGGACCACGAGGATTCAAAACACCTGCTAGCTTTGCTCGTGCTAGTAGCGTGTTCTTATTTTACTGGTTGGCCTATATAAGTATTCACAAGGTCCAGTCTGTCCCGGTGCAAGGGCAGAACTGGGGTCTTCAGGTCCGCCCGAGCGATCGTTTGCTATCCTAGCAGACGTATTGTTGTCGGAACGTCCTAACTACATTTGTAGCTAGAGTTCACGTGGGAATTTCAACACCACAACTGGTGCCGCGACCCGGGAACAGATTGTGACCATTGTGAACTGTTTGTATGGCCTTCCAGTTTACGAGCTACCAAGCGAAGAAGAACAAGAAAAAGACAAGAAATATGGCGAAAGGACAACCGACGGTACCAGTTACGCCTGCTAAGTCTGACGGGGCTCGCAGCGAGAGTTCAAGCCCGGCTGGGCGCTTTGCAGCCGCCACCGAGCTTTCAGTGAGCTTCGACGACGAAGCGGACAGCGGTCCTGACGCCCACGATTATGAAGATTACGAAGACAAGACGCCGGCTCCAGAGCCAGGCGCAGCGACGCCGGATACGGCCACGCTATCATCGGGGCTGAGCGGGGCGACCAGGTCCCTTTCGAGGAACCTCGCCAACGAGCTCGATGATGTTGCGGGACCGGAACCGGCCTACGAAGATTATGGCGATGGGACCGAGGGTTCTAAACCTTCAGTGGCGAGTGCAAAGCATTCAGCACTGCTGAAGGCATCTCGCCCACCTATCAACGGTGATACAACAGCCGCCAAGCGCGTTTTCGACCGCGTACAAGCGCTGATGCAGAATGATGAGTGGGTGCAGCTGTTCAAGACCATCCCCAAGAACAAGGCCGACTGGCCTGCGCTTGCGCAGGAACTTCAATACCCAGTCAACTCGGTGTCGACTAGCCAAGTTGCCGAGGATTCAGTCTCGCTACTGTTGTCGCTGGGCTTTGAAAATGAGACATACCCATCGACGATGTCGCTCCAAGATTGGAGTCCACATGAAGCCGGAGCTGCTCTCCAGAAATGGAAGAAGAAGCTTCGGAAGGCGTTTGGCGCTGTTGGCATCAACGCT